GCAATGTTTTCAAGTAGGATATCTCAGAGTGGGAAGAAGATGCAGATGAGTACATACGAAAAAATCTTCCATCTGACATTGTATGGGAAGCTTATAATGATTGTATACGTGATTCATTCACCTTTTCAATTAGCTTTACAAATTACATCACCTCTTTTTTTTTTTTTATGCAGGAAGAAATCTCTGGCTGGAGGGAGGATCTATTTACAGCCAGAAAAAGTGCTATTAATTTAATTGGTGTTATTTCAGTGTCAAAGGTTGCTCCTTTGTGGTCCTTGATGAAATATTTCTGGGCACATATTTTGAAGAGCATATTTTTTAGCTTGTGTTTTAATGCCTACAGGGACCTCAATTGGGGACTTCTGCTAATGGCTCATCAGTGTCATCAAAGCGTAAAAAAAGTGAAAAGAACAAGAGAAACAACCAACGCTGTTCAATTGGAGAACTATTGGTGCTTCCATTTCTATCAAAGTTTCCAATTCCTTCTGATGTTAATTCATCCCAAACTAGAATTCAGAATGAGTGAGTACAAAAACACATTATATAAATTCGTAGTTGTACAACATTTGTGGTGATAATTCTTTCTCTTCTCTCTTTGTTAGTATGTTCCCCCTTATGCATTGTGCATTGTAATAATTTTTATCCTCTTCTACTAATCACTGTTTTAAATTTTCACGTGTACATGCTTTCTCTCATTATACACCTTTTTTTTTCTTCTTCTGATTCTCGTACCATGACAATTACAGTTATTTTGGTGTTTTGATGGCATATGGTGGCTTGTTAGATGTAAGGTTTTTTCTCCTCTGCTTCTTCTTAAATTGGTCACCTGTGGTCTAATAAGAGTCTGCAATTGAAGATTTGTAATTCTTTTATTGAGATACAGTTTCTAAGAGAGCAGCAACCTGCATACGCAACTACTCTGGTTCAAACTCGTGTGTTACCATTGTATAAATTATCAGTGAGCCTACCGTACTTAGTTGCCACTGCAAACTGGGTGCTTGGAGAGCTTGCATCCTGTCTACCTGAAGTGAGATTGTTTCTTACCATGCCATCTCCTATGCTTGTACTTCAATTAAAAATGAGAAATTTTTATCTACGCATCACCTGCTATATCATGTTTTCTTAACCTACTTTTCCGTATACTTTCTTGAAAACCATGTTCTTTTCTTTGTTAATACCCACTATTCAAAAATTTGGTCTCATTCTCAGGAGATGAGTACAGATGTCTATTCCTCATTGCTCAAGGCATTGACTATGCCTGATAGTGGGGATATTTCTTGTTATCCCGTGCGGGTTTCTGCTGCTGCAGCTATTATGGGACTTCTTGATGTAGGTCACAAAATCAATCCTTTAGTTGATCCCTTGTTGCTTATTTAATGATATTATGGGTTTTTACTGATCTGAAGTCCTATCTCCAGAACGACTACCCACCGCCTGAGTGGCTTCCTCTCCTTCAAGTTGTCATTGGTAGGATTGGCAATGACGAGGAAGAGAGCTCTATTTTGTTTCAGCTTCTCAGTTCCATGGTGGAGGCAGGAAATGAAAATGTTGTATTTCATATCCCCTATATTGTTTCAACATTGGTTGTTGCAATCTCGAAATGCATCCCTTCTTCTGATCTGAAGCCATGGCCTCAAGTATGTGTAGATTCCTATGGCTAGGCTAGTAGTTTGTTTAACCTTATGAATAACATGTTAACCAGTTAGGGATTGATGCACCTGCTGCTAAAAAGACAGTGAAACAGCTATCTGTTTCATACAGTATATGGATTATCATCCAATCAGCTTTATCAAAATTGAATCATTTTGTGCTTGACCAATTTTGATCCATGAAATCATAAGCTGTACAAAATTAGTACTGCTTTTTTCATGGAATTTTTGTTTTCTTGACAATTTGTTTTCCATTTTATGCAGTGCTCACTGTGTATTTTGTGTTTGCCTGAACCTTTCGGTACATGCATTGATGATATAATTCCCAACTAATCATGATTTTCTCTGGAATGTAAAATTTGTTCCATTTACAACTATCAGTGGAATATGACTGAAGGTTGTAAGACTGATGAACTGACATTGTTTATATTAGATGGTTGAAAAGGGCTTTGAAACATTAGCAGTGATGGACCAGTCTTGGGAAACTTTTACGGGTGAAGAATCTGAGGAGAATGAATCAAGTGAAAAGTGGGCATCAGGCAGAGTTACCATCGCCAGAGCTTTCTCTGCTCTCTTGCAACAGGCTTGGCTTACACCAATGCATTCATTGGTTAGTTTTATTTTCTAGTAAATTTTTGGAAAGAAACTTGGCTAGAATACTTTATCTTTATGTTGAATGAAAAGACAAAGCATTTCTTGAAACTTGAAACTTGTGTCTTTGGCCATTGAAGAATAGGTTATTAAAAGTCCATCCTCTGCATTTGCTCTGCTTGTGCCTCTGTTCATTAGAAAGCACTTCTGGATTTCAGGTTGTTACATATGTTATTTTCTCTGTTCTTTTTATCAGGGTCAGGAAGGTGAGGCTCTGCCCCCTCCATCTTGCTTGGATTCTGCATCAAGATTGCTCCAATCCATCATGCTATCTGTTACTGAAAGTAATGTACTTCTAGAGCTTAAAGTATCAGAGTTGTTATTAGTTTGGGCTTATCTGATTGCCGACTGGCATGCTTGGGAAGAATCAGAGGATATGTCAGTCTTTGAGTGCATTACGGGAGTTGTCAGTCTACACAGGAAGTATGAGTTGAAGAATTTTATTGTGGGACAAATGCCATCTCCTCCAGCTCCACCTGTTCCTGAACGTTCCATAATAGAAGGCATTGGTACTTTCGTAAGCGAGGCCGCTTTACACTATCCTTCTGCAACATGGGAGGCTTGCTCTTGTATTCATATACTACTACATGTCCCACATTACTTGCCTGAGACAGAAGGTGTGAAGCAGTCATTGGCAATTGCATTTTGTCAGGCAACATGTTCCCGTTTCCGAGAAGTTAAAAGCAAGCCTGGTCCTCTCTGGAAGCCTTTGCTACTTGCTATATCATCATGCTATTTATGTTATCCTGAAGTTGTAGAGGCTATATTGGAGAAGGATGGAGATGGGGGCTTTGAAACCTGGGTATCTGCCCTTGGACTTGTTTCCACAAGCTCTTTCAAACCTGGACTATCAACAGAACCCGAGATAAAGTTAATTGGTTAGTACATGGTAGCTTAACTTCTTAGCCAAGACTACCTGCCTATTTATTTATTTTAAAACGAATTTCTGTTATAATGAGATTAAAATAGCAGACCCATCCAACTAAAAGACAAAGAAATCAGTTGTGCTTAATCTAAACTAGCAGACCAATCTAAAAGGATCAAACTAAGGGGAACATCCTTAGAATCCTTGGAAAAAGAGGCCCATGGGAAGCAAGAAACCTTGAGTTGAGCTTCCTTTGCAATATTAACTGTTATGGTATGAATGGCTCTGAAGTAGAACTTCTCCTTTTCTTGAATTGGACCCTTGGACTACCTTTCTGATATTGAAATCTAACGTGGATATCTTTTGTATTACCAAGTTCATGTCCTCATGTCAAAAATCCTGTTACTTTTGGTTAGAGAAAAGGTTGAAGGTTTTGTTGGAGTTTGAAAATTGTTTTATCTTTTTTTTGGCCCGACACTGAGAGAGGAAGATGATCAAACAAACTTACAACTACCACACTTAGCAGTGGTAAAGTAGTTAATTATACTTGCTCACAAACAGGGAAAATAAGAATGTGTTCCAGCCTCTGATCTGATATTTTAGTTACTTTTGTGTTACATAAATTCCTCAAACCCTATAACTTGCATAACTGAGGACATGACTAATGGCTGTCAATGAATCTCAGTGCTGGCACTGGCGAAAGTAGTTGAACGGCTGTTGGTACTTGGAAAGTCATCTGGTGCTTTGTTACGGGAATGCTTTACTTCACTGATGGAAGCATCTGTACGATTAAACGAAGTGAGGAAAGAGCAGGAAGAAGACGGAGAAGAAGAAACTGAGGATGATGAGGATGATGATGAAATCGAAGAAGAAGATGATGATGAGGTTTAACTTGCATTTTATTTTTTTTATCGTCTAATTTCAGGAAGTCATCTATGAAAATTTCTCTACATGCTGAACTGCTTGTTAATGACAGAAGGCTAATATGTATGGTGCAATCAACTTATGCTATTCATTTTCATAGGTTACTCTGCCTACTATTTTTATGATTCCTGTGATTATCCCCTTCATGAAAATTTACTTTCTTCATCTAAACGAATGATAGCATTAAGAACTTTAAAAAATAATGGATAATGTTCGGGGTTGGGCTTTTTATCCATGAGTTTTCTCTCATGCATCAGATATTGGGAAACTTGACAGTATAGTTCCTTTTTTTCTCAGGATTCGGAGGATGATGAGTATGAAGAGACTGAAGAAGAATTTCTGAATAGGTATGCTGAAGCAGCTCTTGCCTTGGAAAATGGCACAGGTATCGAAGAGGGTGATATAGAAGATGAAGACCGGGAAATGGATTTTGAGAAAGGTTCAAGTTTTGTTTTAGCTGTTCACTTTGCCTTCAAGATAGCATACGGCAATTACTGTTAATCGTCGTTTTCTAGATGCATTCGTTCACTGAAATTTTGATTTTTGCAGGCTGCCTTGAGGAAATTGATCTGCAAAGAGTTGTATTGTCACTTCTGGAGAGATACCACCCTATTGTCATACAAGGACAGGCATTCCCGCCACAACTGATTTCGAGTTTCCTAGATGCTTTCCCTCAATGTAGGTCATTCTTCCAGCATTCTAGTTGAGGTTCCATGCCAAAGGGATCAAAAGTGGTAATTTTTATTATATCTTTTTCTGAAATTGATTGGTAATTTTTGACCCCTGTACCTGCTTGGGTGTGTATTGTTTGAAATGGTTTTGAGAAATTATAGGCCTCACTTGTCAGAATTTGACTTCTTATGTTTCCCGTTCGATATCAGTAAAATCCATGGCAAAGTGATAACTGTGTCTCGTTTAAACAAAAGGTAAATATTTCAAACTAATAAAGAATATTGCTTAACAAATCAAGCCTACAAGATATTGAGACCAGAGAACCCAACATCTTACGGAGTTTCCCCCTCATCTTTTTGCAAAAAGCCGCTCCACGGTGGTGAAGTCTCATCTTGTGTGTTGGCTGAAGTGACTACAGTCGCATTGAACACATGGTAAAGGGTTACAAAACATAGACACAAAATAAGAGGCATTCTTTTCCTATTGCAACAATGATACCGATAAAACTTGCGATCTATTTATGGCATGAATGTATGTAATCAAAAAATGGGTTGCTGGTATATGTCCTACTGATACCCCTGCAGAGTCCTCTAAACCTGAAATAGGAAAAAAAAATTGGATCAAATAATTTTACTGCAATATCAAGTAAAAAAAGGCAATATTAGTTCATCAAAAGCATTGATAGATAGACTTTTTAACATGCCTTGCTTGTGATGTTGTTTGAAAGCCAGTCCAATCCCTCGTACAAACCTTCTCCAGAAGTGGCGCATGTACTCTGGATGTACCTGCAGAAATGTGTCAACAATGATCAGGTATTTGCCCTATGCAGAAAAATAGAGGAGGGAGAATGACGATAGGGGCGGTTGTCTGTCGACTGTACCAATGGCGTTGCCGAAGAGAATGAAGGCTGAGCTTATCTGTGATCTCAGCAGCATTCATTGCATTGGGAAGATCTTGCTTGTTTGCAAACACAAGAAGCACAGCTTCCCTCAATTCGTCCTGCTCATAAAAACAAGATAGGCTCAACTCAATCACTTGACCACTAAATCAGGAGAAAATCAGAATAAAATAAAGCCCTCCCCAATAACCTCGTTCAACATCCTGTGCATCTCATCTCTGGCTTCAACAACACGATCTCTATCGTTGCTGTCGATCACAAAGATCAGCCCTTGTGTGTTCTGGAAGTAGTGTCTCCATAGAGGTCGAATCTGAACCCAACCAACCACCAATCAAACAAGAAGTTCTCTATTTTTTGGTCAATAATAAGAAGTTCAGAACAACTTCACAAAGAAATAGTAAAAGGACATAGTCTAAGTAAATCCAGTTTAAATCCTAAATTTGAACTGAACAAACATGTAAATATACAACCAGGAAATGGAGTTTTATCCCTTCAAAAAATAATCCAATTATGTAAGACAAATGACTAATAGGGACTTAATCTTGGAATATAATGTATCTCACCTTGTCTTGACCTCCAACATCCCAGACAGTGAAGCTAATGTTCTTATATTCCACAGTCTCCACATTAAATCCTGCCATAAACAATACAAAATGTTCACCAAAGTTCTACTTATTAGATATCAAGAAATTCTTCCGTGGGATATCAATGTGCACATGGTTTATCTATTACTACTACACACTAGATATCAATGATATATCAACCATGTTATTCACCTATATTATAATTTGTGAATTAGTAACACCATGTGGTAGTCACGTCTAAATATTTTAAACACAGATGAGCAAACTTCTTATTCGGTAAAAGAGAATATGCATTTGATTGATATCCATTAATTAAGAAGCATTATGTGCAAACATACCAATAGTAGGGATGGTGGTCACAATTTCGCCTAACTTGAGCTTGTACAAAATGGTGGTTTTACCAGCAGCATCAAGACCCACCATAAGAATACGCATCTCTTTCTTAGCAAACATTCGGCTGAACAGTTTAGTGAAAGACAGCCCCATTTTGTTCTAAACAAATTATACCCAAAAAAAACCAAAAAATATCAGAACAACCCCATTGAATTATAATTTATTAAACAAAGGGAAAACGGAATCATGGTTCATTCACATTTCATGCATTGATACAAACAAACCCAGAAATTGTTCATTGCATAGAGAGATTACAAAAAGAAAACATTATATATATATATATATATATATAGAAATTCTCTTATGCGGACATCCGGACGTTATTATCGTGCGGATGCAGTGTATTTTGTACTACCCCTCTCTGTTTTCCTGCCTGTTTACAATAGGATCCGCACGATAATAACGTGCGGACATCCGGATAAGAGAATAACTGTATATATATATATAATGCAATTCAAACACAACCCAATTTGCAATCAGAGAAATCCATTTGTTTATGAAGGGAAGGTTGATCACCAAATCCTTACAGATCTCCCTAATGATCAGATCCAGAATGCAAGAAGAGAAAATATGAAAAACTTACGAGAGAGAGAGAGAGAGAGAGAGAGAGAGAGAGGTGTGGGTTTGAGGAGAGGGCTGCCGGTCACATCTTCCTTAATGGTTGAACCAAATTCAGATTCAGATTCCAGTGGGAGCTCTCTCTCCCTCTCTCGCGCCAGTTTATAGCGTGCGGGAAAGGCGGGCATAAACTAACGGTTGATTTAAATTTAAATTTTTATAAATAATATTTATTTATTTAATTTGGAGTGACTCCTTTATCATCTATACATAGTAGCCTCTCTGAGCGTGCCTAGAGCTACGGAGACTAACAAATTTGATTTTTTATTTTTGCAATTGTATTCCGCTAGTGCCCGTCTCTCAAGTAATTAATGTTTGGTTTGCAAATTCTGCACTGAGGTTTAATTTTCAGTACCAGGTTTAGATTTTAAAATATGAATTTGCTTTTGTTTTAATTTATTATGCCTTTATAAGTTTGTGTCATGTCTTTCATGACTCAATTGTATATTGAGGAAATTTAGATTGTCACACAGCAGCAAATCAACACGAATTGGAAGACTGACTTGGAGAACTACGGGATTGACTCGAAGAACTGAGAAAATTTAGTTTCTTTCAGTAATAATACTTGAATAGCTTTTGCGTGTGCAATGCTTCAATTTTAATGGGTCCATTTCTCTAATTTTGGATGGTTGGGTTGGTTAACGTCTATGTTTTTCTAAACAAAAAATGTAGTTGTGCTAATGGTGGAAAGTTTGTGCTAATGGTGGAAAGTTTCTAAGGTGAATGGTGTATTATCAAAGCTGAATGGTGTTGAGTTTTTTAAGTTTCTATTTCATTATCTTTGATTTTTATTTCAGCACTACAAAATTAGGAAGAAGAAAAGTAAAAGATGGTTTTTGTTCTTTCGTTCGTCGACACATCAAAAGATTTGATTCTCTTTGTGGTATAGATTAAGAAGATCAAAATCATGATTAAGAGAAAGATGTAGAAAAAAAAAAACTTATTTTCTTGATAAGATGATGGAGTTTTGCTGACTTTGTTATACTCTCTTAATCTCATTGTTTTCTTTATTATTTTATAATGAAATCAAAAGATCCCAATGAATTAAGGAAGAGCCCAAGATGTTCTAAGAACCATGCATTGCATATATGATATATAATATATCTACTGGAATTTGAACCCCCAATAATTTCTTGAATAATTAAGTTGCGTTAGTTTATAATCTATAGATATTAATTTGGTATATCCGAGAGACTATACAAATAAAATATGACATATTTTATTCGGCAAAATTTGTAAAATTACAACTTAAAAGTTCGGCCACTATATAATATCTTAATATATATTATTTGTAATCAATACTATGTGTATATTACGTGAATTGTGTGTACTAACATTTTGTAAAAAAATATGTGTATTAAATATGAAAAATACAAATCTACATGTTCAGTATGAGTATTGTACGTTCGCTTTTTAAAAAAATTAGAAAAAAAAAGAGTATAGCCGCACGGCTGTACGATTTTTAAATAAAAGAATTAGGAAAAAACCGAGTATAACCGCACGGCTATACCATTTCTTTAAAAAAAATAAGAAAAACCGCGTATCGCCGTCCGGCTATACTATATATTTTTTAAAAATTACAAAAAAATAATAACCGCGGCTATCCTATTTCTTATAGAAAAACCTGGTATAGCCGTCCGGCTATACTATATATTTTTTAAAAATTACAAAAAAATAATAACCGCGGCTATCCTATTTCTTATAGAAAAACCTGGTATAGCCGTCCGGCTATACTATTTTTTTTTTAAAACTTTAAAAAACCGTATAGCCAAACGGCTGTACTATTTCTTTCTAAAAAAATTAGGAAAAAACCGAGTATAGCCGCCCGGCGATACTATTTCTTTTAAAAAAATTGGGAAAAACCAGGAATAGCTGCCCAGCGATACTATTTCAATAAAAAGAATTTTAAAAAATCCGAGTATAGCTGCGCACCTATACTAATTAATTTAAAAAATAAAGATAAAAGGACCATCTAGTTGCATTAGCTTATACTTTATAGATATTAATTTGATATAGCCGCGCGGCTATACGAATAAAATACATACATGTTTTACTTCCGCAAAATTATGGCAAATTACAAGTTAAAAGTTCGGCCACTATATAATATTTTAATATATATTATTTGTATTCAATAATATGTGAATTTTGCTTGTATTACTGAATATTTTGTAAAAAATATGAGTATTAAATATGAAAAATATGTACATACATGTTCAATATGAGTATTGTACGTTTGCTTTTTAAAAAAATTAGGAAAAACCCGTGTATAGCCTCACGGCATTATAATTTTTCAACAAAAAATTAAAAACAGAGTATAGACGAACGACGGTACTATTTATTTATATTTAAAAATAAAAAAAAAAACCGGGTATAGCCGACCGGCTATACTATTTCTTTTTAACAACAATTAGAAAAACCGAATATAGTTGTCCGGCTATACTATATCTTTAAAAAATTAAGAAAAAAGGACCCTTCTACTTGCACTAGTTTATACTTTATAGATATTAATTTGGCATAGCCACGTAGCTATATGAAAAAAATACATCATGTTTTATTTGGCAAAATTTTGGCAAATTACAAGTTAAAAGTTCGGCCACTATATAATATTATTTGTAATCAATAATATGTATATCTTACATGAATTTTGTGTGTATTATTGAACATTTTGTAAAAAATATGTGTATTAAATATAAAAAAATATGTATGTGTATGTTCATTATGAGTATTGTATGTTTGCTTTGTTAAAAAATTAGGAAAAACGCGAGTATAGCTGGACGGCTGTACTATTTAAAAAAACAGAATATAACCACGCGCCTATACGATTTCTGTTATAAAAAAAAATAGAAAAACCGTGTATCTCCACCGGCTATACTATTTCTTTTTAAAAAATTAATAAAACAGGACCCTCCTAGTTGCACTAATTTTTACTTTATAGATATTAATTTGGTATCACCGTGCGGCTATACAAAAAAATACGTACATATTTTATTTGGTAAAATTTTGGCAAATTACAAGTTAAAAGTTCGGCCAATATATAATATTATTTGTAATCAATAATATGTATATCTTACGTGAATTTTGTGTGTATTATTGAACATTTTATAAAAAATACTTGTATTAAATATGAAAAATATATTTGTATATGTTCAATATGAGGATTGTATGTTTTTTTTAATTTTAATTTTTTTTTAAAAAAAAAAAGGAAAACCCCACGTATAGCCGCCCAGCTGTACTAGTTTTTTAAAAAAATTACGAAAAAACCGAATATAGCCGCGCAGCTATACTATTTCTTTTTTTAAAAAAATAAGAAAAGCCGTGTAACTCTGCCGGCTATACTATTTGTTTTTAAAACAAATTAAAAAACCGAATATAGCCGCTCAGCTATACTATTTCTTTAAAAACAAAAAACAAAAAACCGTGTAACTCTGCCAGCTACACTATTTGTTTTTAAAACAAATTAAAAAACCAAATATAGCTGCACAGCTATACTATTTCTTTTTTTAAAAAAAAATTAGAAAAACCGTGTAACTCTGCTAGCTACACTATTTCTTTTTAAAACAAATTAAAAAACCGAGGATAGCCGACCGGCTATACTATTTCTTTTTAAAAAATTAAAAAAAGAGGGGATCCTCCTAATTGCATTAGTTTATATTTATAGATATTAATTTGGTATAGCCGAGCAGCTATACGAAAAAATTATGTACATGTTTTATTTGGTAAAATTTTGGCAAATTACAAGATAAAAGTTCGGCCACTATATAATATTTTTTGTAATCAATAATATGTATATCTTACATGAATTTTGGGTGTATTGTTGAACATTTTGGACAAAATACGCGTATTAAATATAAAAATACTTATGTGTATGTTCAATACGAGTATTGTACGTTTGCTTTTAAAAAAATTAGTAAAAACCCAAGTTTAGACGCACGGCGGTACTATTTTTTAACAAAAAATTAAAATCAGAGTATCGCTGCGCTGCTGTACTATTTTTAAAAAAAATTACAAAAACAGAATATAGCCGTTCGGCTATACTATTTCTTTTTAAAAAAATTAGAAAAACCATGTATCTCCGCCGGCTATACTATTTCTTTTTTAAAAAAATTAAAAAAACCGAGTCTAGCCGACCGGCTATACGGTTTCTTTTTAAAAAATTAAAAATGAAGACCCTCCTAGTTGCATTAGTTTATACTTTATAGATATTAATTTGGTATAGCCACGCGGCTATATGAAAAAAAATACGTACATGTTTTATTGAGCAAAATTTTGGCAAATTACAAGTTAAAGTTCGGCCACTATATAATATTATTTGTAATCAATAATATGTATATATTACGTGAATTTTGTGCTTATTTTTGAATATTTTTGTAAAAATTAAGCATATTGAAAATGAAAAATACATATGTACATGTTCAGTACGAGTATTGTACGTTTGCTTTTTAAAAAATTAGGAAAAAACCAAGTATCGTCGCACGGTGGTATTATTGTTTTTTTTAAAATGATAAACAGACTATAGCCGCACGGCTGTACGATTTCTTTTTTAAAAATTTTGGAAAAAACCGATTATAGCCGATCGGCTATACCATTTCTTTTAAAATAAAAAAAAACCCCGAGTACAGCCGGTCAGCTATACTATTTCTATGTAAAGATTTTTAAAACCGGGAATAGCCGGTCGGCGGTACTATTTAATAAAAAAATTAAAGATAAAACGAGCATCCTAGTTACATTAGCTTATACTTTATAGATATTGGCTATACCAATAAAATACGTACATGTTTTATTTCAGAAAAATTTTGGCAAATTATAATGTATATATTATTTGTATTCAATAATATGTGTATAATATGTGAATTTTGTGTGTATTATTGAATATTTTGTAAAAAAATATGTGTATTAAATATGAAAAATGCATATATACATGTTCAATACGAGTATTGTACTTTCGCTTTTTAAAAAAATTAGGAAAAACCGAGTATGGCCGCATGACTGTACTATTTTATTTAAGAAATAGCCACACGGCTGTATGATTTCTTTTTAAAAAAATTAGGAAAAAAGGGACTATAGCCGCCCGGATATACTACTTTAAAAAAAAGATTAGAAAAAACCGATTATTATTGAAAATGTTGTATTATATATGAAAAATACATACGTACATATTCAATATGAGAATTGTACATCTCTTTTTTTTTAAATTAATAAAAAACCAAGTATAGCGCCGCGGCTATACTATTTCTTTTTTTAAAAATTAGGAAAAAAGGGGGTTTAGCCGCGCGGCTATACTATGTCTTTTTTTAAAATTAGATGAATCCGAGTATAGAACATAAATGAGATAGTGTCTGTTGTGAAGGATCTAACTGAGGGGAAGAAGACCGGGGCAGATATGTGGTCACAGAGGTAGAGGCAATCTAGGTTTACAAATAAACTTCAGAAGTTTTGTGCTTCTGGTCTGTATAGAGGTAGTGGCATGAGTAGTTTTAAAGCACAAGACAAGACTGTCATTCCAATGTAATTGAATTGGCAGAAAATTCAAACCCAAAAAACTGGGCAGAACATAAAATCCAAAATCCAACTCAAATTTATACAGTTGATAAACAAACTACGAGCGGGCATACATATTTACAGAGCTAAGGGGCAAAAGGAAACCCAGCCTTCCCATTCAAATATAACAGGGAAGGAAACAACATGAGAAGGAATCCCTTAAAAAAAAGGCTTACTATTGTAAATAGGCCAACTCTGTCTGTCCCACAAAAAAATGGAAGAACCCGGAATCAATCTCCTCTTACTCCAGGAAACGAATGTTACAGCAAAGTTGCACCGTTTCCGGCTCAAGATTTCATTCTCGCCTTACAGATAATCTCTCTGATAAATTGGTGACCACAATAGAAAACACAGTAATTAGTTGGCCCGTTTAATGACAAGCATAGATTCTGTACAGAACCAATATACCAAGACAAATGACCACACATGAAAGAAAGCTATTGATGTATCTTTGTAAGTAAAAAGAACAAAAAAAAGGGGGAAAAGCAACCATTCATCTATAAATCATAGGAAAGGTAATTCTGAACTCTTAGTCAGGGAAATAGATGTGTCTTGGGCCAATATCAGAGAAACAGTTTTGGTGAATCAAGTGGTTTATTCATACCACCTCAATTGGTTTTCCTTATGTTATTATCATTAATAGGTGTCACTTCCAAATATTTCTCTACTACTTTGTTTTTAATTTTTCCTTTTCCGATCGCTACTCTCCCCCATGAAGAATAGCTTCGTAATGAGAACATGTAAAACTTTTATTTCAAGCTCTCTAATGCCCTTTTATTACATAAGATACCACTAGCTCGTCGTCAATCTTTTAAAATGTACCATATTCATAAAGCTAATAACATAAAATTTGAAGTTTGCCTCAGATGACAGCTAAAAAGCAAGTTGCATATCCATGTTGATGAAGTGTCCTACTGAGAGAACAAAATCCCTAATTTCATCAGCCATGGTCAGACTTTCAATTTGCAAGCATTAAAAAATAAAATTAATTTGGAAGCTAACTTACTTATTAATTCATAAGTAACGATCATTGTAGTTCCATAGAGTGACATATTTAAGAACCGTGGACCAAATCCTCTATAAAAGCCACGCCATCCATCCTCTTTAAGGAGTGCTTTTGCCGTCTTCAATACTGATGGTCGTCCAACACCATAATTATCCATGACCTTCAAGTACCATATCAAAGAATTAACCATATGACTTTTTTTTAAAAGCAGATAACTTATTTCTTATTTAAGACTGTAGAAATGTAATAGAAACAATGGCTGAAGAGATGGAATAGAAACGGACGTTTATAAAATTTACAGTTTTGCACTAAACTACCTGAAGTCGTGTCTTGACTGTGTCAATGGGAGTAGTTATAACGGAGGCACAAGCACCCGCCATCATGCCTGCTGCAGCCTGAACTGTCACCATCTCCATATGAGATGGTTTCTTCGCTGCATCATCGGTATAGCCCAAGCTACTACAATAACAAAAAGGAAGTCTGATAATTAGACAACAGATTAGGCTGAAGTTTTGGAACTGCTAGAATAAAATTGACCAGCATTAAATTATGTACACCTCCAGATGATGTGCTGGGCAGAACCATAGGCACCCCACCAAAGTGCAGATGCTGGCGACTGGGTCACAGCTGTTAATCCAAAGCCTCTATATAAACCACGAAGACCTTCAGCCTTTATCACTTTATGCATGACATCAAATGGTCTGTTGCAGGATGTAGTCCCAGGAAGTCCTTGAACCATTAGTCTCTGGCAAATCTGAATATGCACAAGTATAGTATAGTGCAGATGACATAACAACAGGTACATTCAGCAAATAATATTGAAAAACAGAACTGCTTTATCAGCATTAATGAAAAGCTAAAACAATAATGAGTACATAATACAATGATTGCATGGTAAAATTTCAAAGCTCTTATTGAACTGAACCACCCCAGCACAAAAGATCACAAGTTTTCTACTCTTATCCTACATACACAACTGTTACTTAAAAGGTTTTGTGTTTCGATTAGCCTACAAAATTAGGTCAAATGTAAGAGTCTTTTGAGCCTGTTAAGCCATAAAGCAACAATCCAACACATGACATAAAGGCATCTGATTTGCAAATGGGGAATCATATTCACTTTTTCTTGTAGGAGAACAGCAATTAAGGAAACTGAAGGTTTCATGTGCTAAGTAAAATAATGTACAGTGGAAGTGGTGTATACAGCAAACCTACAAGCAAAAGTTGTTGGTTTTGGGGACAGATACTCATCTCTTAGCAGGATATTAGAGTTGAACATAAAGAGTTAAAGCAGTTTCGTGACAGCATCTCCAGGATATTTGTTTTAAAGCCAAAAAAACAGTAAAAGCTATGCGAACATAACCTGAAAACAGGCTATTTCATTTTCTTATGTATTCCAATACAGCATTTCTTGTCTTGGTTAATAAACAAAAACATATATAATAGGAAGTGAGAAAGAAAGGGTTTACCTACCACATCCAAGGGCACGTAGTATCCACAAGAAACTAAATTTGAGAACATGCCCGCCACTGCATTTGCCATTCCAATACGTGTAGCCTCAGGCATGTCTAGATCTTCAGTGTATTTCAACATCATATCTTTTGATACTTCAAGTGATGTCAAAGCCAAGACCCTACCAGGCAACGATCCAACGGCAGAAGTGCCAAAACCTCTGAATATGCCAGGGATGCCATCACTCTTTAATATATGTCTAAATACTGATATTCCACCCATGTGAGAGAATCCAGAACCAGCTACCTGCATTCTAGTCTTTACAACTGATGTTGGATGTAGTAAGGCTGACTGCGCTGTGAAGAGAATAGCCCCAATAATATGAAACCTTGTCTTGTCCAACCTACATTGAGGTGAATAAATTTTAAAAGAGGGTCAGTTCTTCTAATCCATATTAAAATATCATTGTAACATATCCTCATGTCTCCATTGGGGAAAAGAAACATATTTAGAAAATGACTGCGGATCGTAGTTGTGTTCGGTTCTCTTTTTCCAAGAAGAAAAGAGAGGGGTTTTGGGTGTTTTGTTTTAAGTACGATAAGGATCCTACCTAAGTTCATTGTCATTTCCATAGGCTTACTGTGCATAATGCAAATAATTACAGCTTGCAAAATCAAACCTCAGCACGAACCAAACAAAGGAGAAAAAAAAAACCTTCATATGAACTGACTTATTTTACCACCGAAACAGGTTATTGACAAAATGTAAATCACAAGAGCTGCCCAGCCACGGCAGCTTTGAATCCAGCCATCTAGACTGAAATTTGTTCTTAAATATGCAATAAACTGACATAAAAATGAGTAATGCAACTTGCCCAAAAACAGTATGATGATTAATCAGGACTAACATAAACTGTTTAACATTCAAACATAATTTCAACTCAACAATGGTTCTCATTGACAATCTGCTAAACTTTGTACATAACAAGAGGACATTACACACGTAAATACACACAGCTGTTAACCCAGTAAGACCCAGTTAAAAAGAAACCATAAAGAAAAAGGGCATAAAAAATTAGTGTTCCGAATTCTGCCTAAAACAATCATATCATTTTAAAGCATGGAAAGAAATGAAAACAGAATGGTGAAAAAATGAAATGGGGAACCAAAACAAAGAACAAGGCAAAAGAGAGGAATGGAATGAAACCTATCCCAGTTGATGTCAGTGTCGGCAAGAGCCAACTCTGGCACGGTCACCGCCTTAGTTTCCACCGCCATGTTTTCTTCTTTCCTCCAATCTTTTCTAGTTTTTTCTTTTCTTTTCCACACACTGTTTTTCAAGTTTCAAGTGTGAAGAGAAGGTTTTAGTTACAAATTTATCACCGAAAGTTGTGTTTTGAAATGGAATTCCCATCTAAGTTTACGTGCTTAAACCGCCTGCCTGCTGCTCTCCTTTGGGTTCTCCTGCAACTGTGTAATTAAGCTTCTTCCCAACAAACAATTCATTCCATTTCAATTTCTGGGTCCTCCAGTATAAATTTTCTATAAGCTTCTTCTTATGGGCTTTTTTTTTTACTTGATCAAGATGGGCTTTTCCATTTTAGCCCAAACATTGTTTAGTATCGGAGACCTGTAATGAAATCCATTCAAGCCCACGTGAAGTATGTGACCACTCAAGCCCAAGTCAATAACAGATGACTTTGTTATTTGTATGAAATCACCTATGAGAGCTACCTGTTTGTTATTGGATTTTACTAGCCTTGTTTGTCAGTTGATTGAATTCCCTAACAAAAAACTTGTTAGTTGCAAATTTTAAAAATACAAGAATATCATTTTGTAGAAATATGTAAAAAAAATAGGCTACGTTATAAATCAAATTTGAAGTGTCAACACTTTTAACCATGTAAGTTGAATAAATAAGGGACATAATATGTAAAAAAACGGACAGCTTTTGAGTGAAGGGGGAAGGAAAGTGGACCTAATGACCTTTTTTAAGTTTCAACTCGACTTGAGGTATGAACACGTATGACAAAAAATAAAAATAAAAAAACCTTTTGGTCAAGCCAGTTATCAAAAAGACGATAACACCCCCGTTACCGGTCATGCCAGTTATCAAAAAGATGATAACACCCCCGTTTGTTTCCCGGGAAACTTATCATTCTGTTTGTTTCTCGAGAAACTTAAGAAGGAAAAGTTGGCAGTCTCACTCTCTCTCCCTGAGGGAATTCAATATCAATACCCTTAATTTGCTCCGATATTTTCCATTGAGCTCTCAAGCTAGCTAGATCAAGGTCACCGTCTTCGGTTTCACCTACATCCACAGCTAGCGCATACAGAAAAAAAAATGAGCAATACTTGCATTGCTTCTTTTTATTATTATTATCAGTCCCTAAAGGCCTCTTTCCATTTACTGCTCCAGAAAATAATACTCATTGTGAGCCGTCTTGATGATCCCGGTGACCTAGAAGCTCAAGCTCCAGCAGCAGCAGCTAGGAACTTGGATTGGGCAAAGATTGTTGTGGTGTATTGCTTGTCAACAGGAGTTGCCATGGCTCTCATACACACCCAAGTTCACCCCAGCAAGCTCCCTCTAAGCTTTTTCGTTCTCGGACTGGCAGTCCTACTCGCCTTTGCGTGCATCATGGTAAGCAAATTTGTTCAGCACTCCAAATGTCCAAGAATAACACTTCATCTCTTCCATTTCTTTGGGATATTTTTCGGAGTCTCCGCCTTCTTCATTTCCATTACAATCCCTTTTCCTCTCTGGTTTAAATGTACTGCATCTGTCATCTATTTGGCCTCAGGCCTTGTAGTCATATTTTGCAATCTCTTCTATAATTAATATTAATGTAGAGAGAGAGAGAGAGAGAGAGAGAGAGAGAGAGAGAGAGAGAGAGAGAGAGAGAGAAGAAGAGATTTATTAGACTGCATTACTGTAACCTCACTGTGCCTTTTATGTTTTTAAAAGTTGAGTACTTGATCTGGATGAAATTCCACAAGGATATGTCTTCGTGTTTGTATGATTTCCTATTAATAAATATTTTTTTATATAATTTCTTGATTAATGTTTGTCATGCAACGAATTCCACATCATACGTAGTGTTAAAAGTGAATAAAAATGGGAAAAGGGAAAACTCTGGATTAAAAATTAGGACATGGACGTCTGAAGTATATCCTTAAGTCCTCTGCCGGCACACTAATGGTTGCAATGTATTTTAACCCAGTTGAAAATTGTCAAAATATGAGAGGCTCTAAAATTCGTATAATAATTATTTTAAAAAATAGTTTTTTAAAAATAATAATAATTTTGGGTGACACACATGAGATTGGAATATGCCTTATTTTCTGATGAAACGAATCAGAATCTTCCAATCAAAAAAATGATTTAACGTCACTCCTACCGTTCTGTTCTGTATACTCAATCTTCAATTCTGTGCTGTGGAATGTTTTCGTCTTTTTTGTTTTTGCGTAAGTCGGTAAAAGGAAACAACATTTTGTGTTTTTCAAATTTCAAATAAATGAATGTATTACAGAAAAATAAAAATACGTATTTTGAGTGTTCCAGACATTTTTAAATAGCTGCTACACAAAGATACGAAAATCATGATGATGATAAAATAGTTGACTAAGTTCCTCAGGAATTGAAGTATCAACATTAAATACAGAATGTGTATCATTGTTATCGTTAATTACCACTTTTTTAAAGAATGAATAAATAGTTTTTCCTCTCTTTGTTAGTATATTATCATCATGTAACATGATATCCTAACAAGAAATACTAGACACCAAAAATTATATATGCTAATTAATAATTCAAGTTACAAAAATAAAAGGCTAAAAGTCACTTTTGGTCCATGTAGTTTGGCACTTCAACCACTTTTGACCCTATAGTTTCAATTCCGTCAATTTTGACCCTGTAGTTTCGTATTTGTAGCAATTCAAGGACAAGTTAGTATTCATGTCAATTTTTTTGACAATATAAGGGGCAATTTCGTCAACCCAAAATCCTTGAGCATAAAAGCTCGTTTGAAACTCCCCTAGTTTTATATTAGGGCTTGAAATTGGTCATTTGGGTTTAGGGTTCTTCAAAAATTGGGATTAGTAGTTGAATTTCGAGCCCTAATATGAAATGAGGAGAATTTCAAACAAGTTTTTACGCTCAAGGGTTTTGGGTTGACGAAATTGCCTCTTACATCGTTAAAGAAATTGAAAAGACTACTAACATGTCCTTGAATTGCTACAAATACAAAACTACAATGGCAAAATTGACGGAATTAAAACTACATGGTCAAAAGTGGTTGAAGTGCCAAACTACAGGGACCGAAAGTGACTTTTGGCCAAAATAAAACATATATCAACAATCCCCATAAAATTTCACCCAAACCCTAAATCATAAAAATTTAACAACAACAATTAAAATTAGAAATTGAATATTAAAAAAATAGAGAAACTTACCAAGATTGAAGAACCCACTGAAGATAGGTTGATACAATTTTTTATAGGGGGAGAGCTATTTTTTGTAGGCTCTCAAGGTTCAAATACGGCGTTTTGGGTGGCTAGAAGAAAATTTATGTTGTTTGCTTCTAGTCAAATTTATACAGTTATGGATTGCATGTTTACTATTTCCTATATGCTTCAAGAATGGGCTTATTTCTACATAGAGGCTTGGGCTTCTTTTAAATAGACTACAAAAAAAATTCAGGCTCTAACCCAAGTGTAAATATGTCTATGGTTGCAAGTAGACTCTTCCATATTTGAATTAACCATTTGTGGTTATTGTGCTTTCGTATTTATACTAACTATTATTTGGTTATTTTTATTTGTATTGGCATCTATGGCTTACGGCGTTTAGACCACAATTAAATGCAATTTATCGCATTTCTTTTATATAAAAAAATTATTTTATCTTTAGAATTAAAAATAATAATGAGTAGGTGTGTTCTATAAAAATAGTGTTTTAAATGCATAAGTTGGTGGATGACCACCATACCTCTTAGCATTCACCATTTCTAATTCTATGTAACCTATACACTAAATACCATAGTTATGAGCTTATAATTTATGAGTTGTTAATGTCTTCTTATCACTGTAAGCCTATAAATAAGAGATCTTACCAAGATCAGATATAGAAGTTAAGTGATTGACACAAATTTTATTGTCTTTCTTTACTTTCCAATTCTCTCTACAATTTCCTCTTAGTTATATAACACGTTATCAGCACGAGCCTCTAACCACTTGAGATCTTGTTTTTCTATCTTATAAATAGAATAGTTTCCTCTTATATATTGCAAGTATAGAACTCTTGTTACATAGGCTTTCACAAATGAAAAGAAGTGCATCAACAAAAGGAAGCTGAATAACAAGATTCCAAACATATAAGTTATTTTATTTTTATTTTCATTTACATATCTAGCGCATATGAAATTTGATATTTTACAAAGAAATTAGCATTTTTATTATAGATATCTATCTTGTCTATCTACTTACAAGATTACAACTGTATTTTGTTATTTGTCAGAAATTCAAAATTTTTGTTAAGAGTAAAGATCAATATCAATGTGATATTTCATGTCACCAATTTTTATGAGGTAAAGTGAGATACTCAATAAATTCAAATTTTATATAACTAATGGAGGACAAAGTTCCTCAGTTTTTATTCAACCATGTAAGGGCCAGAAGATCCTTAGATTTCAATCCTTATAATATAAATATTTGTGGACTTGAAGTTTCCCAATTGTTAAAAGGCAAATGAAGACCTGAAGCTCTTGTATTCATTTTTCGTTGGAACCAGAAGTTTCAACAATTTTTTTTATTGCAATCTTTTAATTTTTGTTGTATTTTATTTTACTTAGTTCTTTTCTTTAGTGTTATTTTTATTTTATGCAGGGACCTTAAGTTCCTGAATTATATAATTAAATAAAGACCCGAAGTCTCTTAATTCTCAATCCATATAATATCTATATAAGGACTTGGATTTCTGCAATTCTCATAAAGTAAATCAAGACTTGGAGTTTTTTTTTATTTTTCTCTAACTTGGAAGTTTCAATAATTTATTTTATTCTAGTATTTAATTATTATTTTATTTTTATTGTTATATTCAATTATTTGTTTTCATTTCAATAATTTATATTTAAGGACCTGAAGTTCCTCATATGACCCGAAGTTCAAATATCTTTGAACCCGAAGTTCTTATTATGTCTAATCCAAACTATAAGTTTCGGCCAAATGTGCATTAAAATAGGTAAATTCTAGAACCTGAAGTTCTAATTGTGTCAACCTCCAAATTGATATTTCAACAAGTGCATATGTATTATGATTTTGGGCTGAAAAATATACATCATTTTAAGAACCTGAAGTTTCGACATTATTTGGATTTCATGTTTTCTAATTTTTATTTATTATTATCATTTTATTTTGTTACCTTGAACAATATCATATTACTACAAATTTGGACCTGCAGTTTAAAACCATATATTCTTTTTAATTTGATATATGCACATGAACCTGAAGTTCCAG